AAACGAAATTAAGAACCACAATAAGCCAGGATGCGCTCAACTCCTACGCAATTTGTGGTATCAATCGTAGCTTTTGTGATGAGCTCTCTTTAGAGGCTTTAGCCGACGAGTTCATCCAAGCTAGGAACGGTCGTATAAATGTCTGTGCCCTATCAACACAGTAGTCTACTGTAGTCTTATTCGTGGTGGCTCGGTAGTATCGATATTTCGTAGCACGCACATTTCTGCGGAGGCCCACATATTGTGTTAAGTTCGGGCTTCCATCTTCAGAGTATGCGATTCTCACCACCGCTTATTCAATGAAAATTGTGCGCAGAGGCCGGCTCTGGCCGTCGGCCCGCTAGTGAGACGTCTAGCGGCCCTCGGACAAAACTGCGGGCAGCCCAGCATCGACGATGCCGAAAATGCGGCGCCTCTGATCTAGGGGGACCATGTTGCCCCGTGGGAATGTATAGCAACAGATCATTGCTTAGTAGGTGCAGCATATGCAGTGCATATGCTAGCTGTGCATATTATGCACAACTAGCATGGTGGTACCGCGGCCAATATGGACGGTTCGAGAAAGATAGCACATCGCTGACAAGTGCACTCTACAACTTGTAATTTGATAATCAGTTTTTGATGTCATGCTCGAGAGCAGCTGTCAGCAGGGCAAACAGGCGGATCAGTCGAGGGTTCTTCAACATGTTATCTATCACTCGATGCTTCTACCTACGTCCTAGCTGCCTTAACAATTAGCTAACGTCTTTCACCGAATCAACTACCCAACATTCTTAGATAACAAACCAGGCATGCTTTCTAATAGAAGGTTTCTATTCTTGTTAGCCGACCATACATATAGAAAGTTTCTATGTGTATGGTCGATTAACAAGAATTGACCCTCGAGTTCAACATACTGAATGAGGGAGCCGTCGATGCCTGGGCTTACAGATATTAGCGCCTTGGACGTTGGCTCTGCAGCCTCTTCATAAGGTATTTGTCCGCCCAGTGCAGGGGGGAAGTGTACAATCGCGTGAAACGACTCTGCGATTCGAGTTCGAAGAAATTTCACCCGAAAGTCCGTCACAACACGCACAGCTCTGCTGTACAAGTTAGCATGCGCATTGATACAACGTTCAAGAGGCTGGACATATCTTCGTGCCCCACTGGTTCAACACAAAAGAGGTGCACAGTGTAGAAATCGATACGTTTTTAGTTGTAGTATAGCTCCAGGCCCATCCCATCGTGAATCTCATAATCAGCCAATGTGATGTGATCCTTATACACATTGTACCATTTTTGAATCCTGATCTTCTCTGGTCGAGTACCTGTGAGAGCAATGTTGGAATATGTTCGCTTTCCTCAACTCATCGATGATAGAAAACTACGTACAAATTCGGATAGAAGTGCACAGAAACCAATAATGGCTTCATCAAATTCCTTTGAAATTTTTTCATGTCACCAACACGTGATTGAATGTGTGCATACTCTCCCTGGTGCGCCCTAAGTTATACTAAAACCAACCTATTTGTGCTGCTAGCAGCTTCTTGAGATCACCAATGGTATCATCCGGATTGCACTTTACTCTTATCTT